TCTGCCCCAGGAGCTCAAAGCCCAAGGAAGAGGCCTCTGTTTTTTTGTATTTTTTTTTTTATCGTGAGATGGGATAAAAACATCCTGTCCTACCCCTGTTGAACTATTGGGTCCTTCTTAGGCTAAAGACCTTCCCTTCCCGCACCTCCTGAGAAAAATATCAGCTTTTCTTTATAACACCTGAGGAAGGTGCCAGGGAAGTAGAGGTGTTGGGGGAATCTAAATTCCACGACCCCCTCCTTTTTTTCCCTCAGCTAGAAAATGTGCTGGGAGAGACCTTCCCTCTCTGAGACTACCCTACTCTAGGCAAGGCCTCCAAGCACTGCCCCTGCCTCTCCAGACCACCCTGGGAACTCCTCGCAGACCCCTGGCTCACTCACCTGTGTGGCTGCGTTTGTGCACCATGAGCACGTTGGGTCCGATACAGACCATGCCGCAGACATCACACTTGAGCTTGCCATTGGGCAGCCGGATACCACCAGGGGAGTGAGGCTCTGGCCCACTCCCGTCACAGTAGCCCAGGGGCTCTGACAATGAGTCTTCCACGATCACACTATCATCCTTTTCCAGGAGCCGCTCATCTGGCCCCAGCAGTCTGCTCGACTCCTCATCGCTGTACATCTCCACCTTGATGGAGCTGGCTGGAGGGCGGGATGGTGTTTAGGATAGAGCCAGGCAAAGGGGGGAAGCTGCCCCCAGGCCAGAATGGCACTCCTGAAGTCCAAAAGGCTGTCTCCAAGCCCTGAGACATTCAGGCTTTAAAAGAGGCCAACATTCTAGGCATTGTGTGTGGTGATATCAGGGTCCTGCTGAGACCTGAAACAACCTTTTCCCCCATCCCACTGACCAGGCAAACAGGCTTCAAGAGAAAAAAAGTTGGGGTACATAGGATGTCTTCTGTCCATAGAGAGAGGAAGAGGCTAAGGGGAGCCTTGTTCTCCACTCTCTTGTCATTAAGAAAGACGTCTGGCTTGGCCCAGGGCAGGAAGCCAGCAAGTAACAGTGGCGGGAAAACGGTCCTAGGAAGACCGAAGAGACAGAGGGCTAAAGAGAGAGGAAAACTGGAAGACAGACATGGCTCATCTTATCCTCCCACCCAAAAGACTGAGCCCCTCTACTCCCCTCCATAAAAATCTGGAGACGGGGATGGAGGAGGGAGGAGCCATTGAGGAGAAAGCCCTGGCTCTAGCTCTGACCTACATTCCTGGCTATTCCAACCATTTAGAGAATGTCACAGATCTAGGGCCAGCTGAGGAGGGGCAGTCATGGGGACCTTGTCTGGGCAGGAGAATGGGGGGTGGTGGTGATGAGGAGATCTTTCTCATCTCTATTTCGTATCTAACTCCAGCTTATGACCATTTCTATCTGCTTGCTACTCCAACTCCAGAATTTCTCCTTTGGGGCCTTTACCTTAATCCCACCCATGCCTCTTTTAATTCCACCCTGATCTGGCAGTGACTGTTCACTCTCCTTTCAGAAATCTGGAAATCCCTAGACACTGAGCTCCTTAGCGCTTTTAGAGACTCCGAGCAGGAAATCAGAGGGAGGCAGTGATGGGGAAATGGCTGCCAATGGGAGGTAAATCAAGAGCCAAACACAAATGGGGGTGCCTAGCGCCAGGGAAGGGTAGGAGGTTGCACTTACCACTGAGTGAGCGGCTGGGAGAAGAGTGCTGGCTGTTGGGGGTGCTCACCGAGGGCCCCACTGGGGCCCCGAGGAACTCCTTCTCCAAGGATGAGTCCCCGCTACCTTAGAGGAGAGAACAAGAGGGCAGGTGAAGCTGCAGCTGGAGCCATTTGCTGTCCATCGCCTAAAATTTTTAAAATTCAGTAAGGTTTCACAGCATTTCTCTTGTAGTCACGTACAAGGCAGTGTTGTGTGCTTGGGACCATACCTGTGCCCTCGCCAGCCTGGGTGCCCGGTGCTGACTTCCGCGAGCTCAGTGGCTGCGCCTTGCCCACCCTACCTTTATCTAGGCCTGAGGGGAAGAGCATCACTGCCTGACGTCCACAGGAAGCAGGGCTGGGGCTGGGCGGGCCAGGGTGGAGAGGAAAATGGGGGCCTCAGGAGGGAGGCGGTTCAGGACAGACGTTCTTCCCTACTGTTCCTCTCCGGAGCCCCCAACACCAGGTTCGGGATCTGCAGGAAGGGCAGCTGGAATTGTCCCTGAATCTAATGATAATAATAGTAATCATAAGGATAGCAGCTAACATTAATTGAGTGCTTACTATGTGCCAGGCATTGTTCTATGCACCTTAAATGAATTGTCTCACTTAATCTTCACAACAACCCTATGAAGTAAGTGCCAATATTATCTTAATTTTGCAGATGAGGAAACCGAGACACAAAAGAGGCTATGTTACTTGTCCAAGGTCACACAGCTGGTAGTGGTGGAACTGGGATCTGATGACAAACAGTAATTGCCCATGTCCTTAACCACCAATAACACAGCCGATTGGGAGTCACTGCTTCAGTAGGGGAGAGCTGGGTCCGTTAGACTGTCTAAAATCAGCAAAAATTTGACTACTCTAGAAAGCTTCCTATCTGATACAATTCCAGTCACATATTTACTACCTGATGTTCCCTTGACAATAAAATAATAGTTTATTCTCAATATATTCATTTTAACTTGTTACAAATTGCTTTGCAAAAATGCTTTCGAGAGCTTCATGTTTTTAAAAATCAGATAACACTCCTGAAGATATGAATCACATCTTTAAAAAAAAAAATCCCTCCTCCCCACAATCTTCTATGCGAAATATAGGTGAAAGAACACACATGTAGATAAACATACACACAGACACAGACACATATCACATATGTAGACACACATAAAGAGAACACACCTACTAAGATAAACATACCCACAGCCTTCTACGTTATCTGCTAACATGAACATGCATGGATGTGTGCACATAGGCCTAAATATGGAAGAGACAGAGAGAGACAAACCCTAAAATTCATCCCTAAAGTCCACCTATTAGTACTTTACCCAATTTCCCAGCTATGTACATACTTACTTTCACAAAATAAAGATTCCATTATAAAATGGTTGGAGTCTTGGGCCTGAGGCAAGAAATCCGGAACACACCCTCCTGAGGGATCCCTCTCCAGCTTTGGTCAGTGGGAAGAAAACAACCACTCAGGACTTTGGGACCATTTCCCATTCATATCCTCGCCTAAAAGTCCCATTTCCCCCATTCTATCCCATCAAAGCCTGATTTTTCTATAGAAAAAGCCTTACAGCTTGAAACTGAGTTCCCCAGCTGGGGCTCTTTAGATGAGCCATAGTTATCTAAAAAAGTTGCCCCAAATCAGAACCACACACAGTATCATGAAGTGAGCATCTCAGAGTTGTGGGTTGAGACTTGTAAACTCAGACCCAGTTTTTAAACAGGTCCTTTCAACTAAGTGTAGGGTTTACTAAGGTTAGAAGGGCTGAAAGGGTATCTTCTGTTTCCTTTTCAAATGTGAGTGCTGACTTGCCCTAAATCACTTGATGTTAGTAATGGGGGAAGAACAGGGCTCTAGGCCCTGATGCTGAGTCCTTGACCCTAAAAGGATGAGTGAGCTTGCTGGAAATTCATTGCTAGTCCCAACCTATTTAGGCTGAGGCTGCCTCTTGGGGCCAGGAGCTTGATATATGGGGGAAAATATCCTTAAAGGGATATTTAGGGACATTAAGGGGAAAACATCCTTTGTGGCTCTCCCTATAGAAGCCCGGGAACAGGAGGAAGAGCAGGTGCCTCCAGAGTCACACCAGTAGTTCAAGAGGCTCTTTGATGCCATTGCCCTCCCCAGGATAAAGGTGAGAGGGAAAACAGGCTCATGTCTACTTTTATGGGGCTAATACATAAAAATGAATCCATTTCAGGGGTCAGAAAGTCTTTATGGGGCCCCACGGACTATGAGTTCTAGCCCGAGGGTGAAGGGGACTGGAGTCAGATTTAGGAAGTTCAGCAGTTCCTCTCTCAGCACCAGAAACCCCAGTGAGGGAATTTCAAATGCCTGGGACTCCCAAGAAATCCCAGACTGTCAAAGCCAAGAATTATGGCTGCTCTCAGGTCTCAGAGAAATTTTCTTAGTCAAAGTCATCATAGATTGGCTGAACCCCCAGAAGGCAAAGCCAAATCATGAGGTTCACATCAGAGGAACTAGGAGGTGGGTAAAGGGCAAAAAGCAGGAGGGAGAGAAAGGAACCAGGGCAACGTCCCACAGGCTCAATGTTTCACATATTGGAGACCAGCCCTCCGCTCCTGCCACCCGTCTGCGATCCCTTCAGAGTGGCTACCTCCAGGGAATAGCCATGAGGTCAGGGAACCTCCACACTTCTCTGCAAGGAACGTCATCCTCACTGCTTCCCCTTTCTTGACCATGGGCTCCAGGGTGGCAGGATGCTAGCCTGCTAGCAGGGAATAGTGGGTACAGGAGCAAAGAAAGACGCCCATCCCCAGCTCTATTGTGGGGAGGAGGCTGAGGCCCCTCAGATCTCTGCTCCAGGCTGAGGCATCTGCTGCCAAGGCTTCTCTTTACCTCGATTCTCTCTATTACCCATTCCCACCCAGGCCTGTCTCGGCATTTCACCCCGGGCAGCTCTACATCTGTCCCCAAGGCCTAATCAAGATGTCACCACAAGCTCCCACTGTCCAAGTCGCAGTCTTTGCTTAGCAACACCAAACACCCTTTCCCATCCTCCACAAGTGTAAGGAGGAACGCCCCCTCCCCCGCTACACACACACACACACACACACACACACACACACACACACGCGCGCACGCACACACAGCCCCCATCCTCTCCCTCTCCTCAGGCTCCAGAGTTGTTACTGAATTGGCTCCCTAGCCCCAGCACCACCCGTCCCCCCTCCACTAGCCACCTTCTGCCTGAACTTACATTATCCTTCCCTTGCCGGTGAGACCCTGGGGTGCGAACGCGGCCGCCGCCTTGGAAACGGCGAGGGAGTGCGGGTGGTGTGTGCATGTCTGCGTCTCGGTGGCAGGCAGGGGTGAGCCCAGCCACTCACCTTCCAGGAAGCGTGGATTCCTGGAAGTGAGGGGAACCGCCGTCATTTCGCAGGCAGCGGCAGCGGCACGGTGAGCAGGGGCCCAAGGCTGCAGCCAGCAAGAAGAGCTCAGCCCAGGGTGTATGTGTGTGAGTGAGTGTGTGTGTGTGTGTGTGTGAGAGAGAGAGAGAGAGAGAGTGTGAGTGTGTGTGTGTGTGTATGTGAGAGAGCAAGCAAGCAAGAGAGCACACGCTTCAATGTGTTTGGGGTGGGGGCTGGAGGGAATGTCTATGTGTGTCTGTTGGGGGGGATGCTAGGCTACAGCATCCCTTCCCAAGCCAGTGAAGGGGTGGGGTGGGGGTGTGCACAGGGAGGGGAGGCAGATGCCGTTGCCCTCGTGCCCAGCAGACAAAGAAGAACTGCACAACAAATGCCTGAGAGAGGCAAGAGTGTGTGCAAGAGAGAGAGAGAGAGATGGATGGGCCCTAGGGGTGGGAGGCAGAAAGGGGGGCCCCCAGGGAAGGTCCAATCCTCTGCCAGCTGGGGAAGCCAAGGCCCCAGAGGTCATGGGGCCCAGGACACCGGGCAGCTTCAAGGCTCTCAGATCAGCAGAAGGCCCCTCCCCCACCAAACTCAGGCACTCTCATTCCCTCCTTTCCCTCCTCCTCCAGGAGGGCGGTTGCTCTCTAGATCTGGGGACTGACAGCCCCCTCCTTCCCGGCAGGGAGAAGGCCCAGCACGGTCTGGTCTCAGGCTAGTGTTGCTCCATGGCCCTGAGCCCTTTCAGATCCCAGGCGAAATACTGGTATAATCTCCCCACTTCCCCTCCCCTCCTGTGCCCCTGGGGCCCAGCAGCCGACAGCCCTGGATGAATCCGCCTTCTATCAAGAAAGGCCTCCGCTCCCTTCCCTTCCAGAGGAGCTGCTCACTGATGTGCTGACCTACTTTGGAGACTAGATTTTCTGATTCCAAGAATTTGGGGGTGGGAGGGCCGTGAAACTTTGAGCTGCCTACCCCTGGATCCCTTTCTTCTGAGGTTCCCTTAAACATTTCATAGTCCCAGAAAACCTGGGACAAGCACTGCTCAGTCAATTAATTGCAGGAGCTGAGTTTGAGCAACTCAGTTTCCCTTGAAAGATAGGGAATGGGGGTGGGGGGATAATCCGTGTGGTAAATTAATGGACTCCTTCTTCTCTTCCTTCTCTCCCCCAGGAGGAAATGATCTATACCTTTTACAAAGAGATACAAGGAGAAAAGATGGACTTTCGGAATCAGGTTCCGTGAGGTGGGAAAATCTCTTTGAAGAACAGGAGAGATGCCACCTTCATCAAGTAGCCAGGGGAGGGAAGGCCACCTGGGGTAGAGGCAAAGAGCTGTGATGACCTTGAAGGGGCTGGTGTGCTTTAGGAGGGGCGTACACTGCAGCCTTTCCCACTGCTTCCGTATCAGCCCAGAAGAGATGGGTCAGGGACGAGCTCTCAGACACCCCTCAAGTGGCCTGTCTCAGCCACGCTCTGCCCTGCAGGGCTGCTTGTCAGAGCTAATGTTAGCCCTCCTTTGGCTTTCCCTTTTCCCTCTCTAAGGCAGCTGCTGACATCTAGAGTTCTCAAAACACAGATGAGGAGTTTCTGGCTTCCACTTTCATTCAAAAACCATCCTGTACAGAGGCCTCCTCTTATCTAGGAAATGCCAACCTCCTGAAAGCAGAGAAAGCTTGGTTTCATAGCACAGTGAAGCAAACACCCTTAGAAGTTTTCCTCTGATACCCAACATTCTCCAGAGACAGCAATGAAAAGCGCTCCGTGGGCTATCTCCCCAGCCACCTTCCTAGTGTCTCATTTGCCTACCTTAGGGCAGGGACTGGTTTTTATCCATCTGAGTGTTCTCCAGCACTAAAGCAGGGTCCTGAGTGTATGTGTTGCTCAGTAGTGGTTTTCTGAATAGGCTTAACTGAGTGGGAGGTAGGAGGATTGGCTGGTTCTTCAGAAGGGCCACAACTTTAGTTCCAATAAAAAGTCTTTCAATTGAATTAGTCCCCTTGATCCCTGTCACTCTGTCCAGCATGTGGCAGGTATCGAATGCCTCTACCCATTCCAACTCCTTCCCTCCTTAAATGAGAAAGGGGTTGGAGTCAACGTCGTGCCTTATCTTCCCCAGGTGTTGACAATGACTCATATGTGTGTCTGACCCATCTTGCTATCTCCCTTAGGCATGCCCATAATTCCTCCATTGGTCCCACTTTAGGGTTAAAAAAAAAAGCTATAGGTCATTTCTACAGTGGTGCTTTGATTTCTGATGAGGATACTCATCATGTCAAAACCCAGTTCTGGCTTCCCTCACCTCTTATAATAATTTCCTGCCCTGACATTCTAATGTCCCCCCAAAATGATTCCTTCCATCTTAAAGAAAAACTCTTTCTTAGGCCCTTTCCTACACCTCAGAGGGAGCCAGATAAAGTTCCTCTTTTCTTTTCACCTTGTTAAACTTGGAGAGGATCCTGATTACTTTCATATCTCTAAAAGCCATTCATATTATAAGTGATGATCTCTTCTGTCTCAGTAAGAGTATTTGGCAGATATGAAAAGCTACAATATGTTATGATCGTGGAAAAGGATTGGGGGAAAGGAGAATTAGGCTCTAGACTCTATGTCTCTACTTCAAAGGCTGTAAATTGTTGGTCCACTAGTTGAATTCAGCACATAGATAAGTCTGGCTTGCCCCATGGAACATTTTAAAAAATATTGAGTCGTTATTTTAAAATGGAGACATTTCATATGAAATCTGGATTTTTGAGTTATCTTAAAATATTGGAAGTTTTGGCCACACTGGATATACATTCCCGCATGGCAGTGGCTGGTGGACACTGAAAAGCTGCTGCTTCTTGAAGTGGGACGTGTTCTCCAGTTCATGACAGTCCCCACTGTCCCCTTTCTCATCATCCTGACCCAGCTCACTTATTTACATACCTACCTGGCCCCTGCAGGCCTCTGAGGTTTGAAACCCTGCTCCACTCTCTACCTGGCTGGGACAGAATGTCATGTTTGGCTGGTGACCTCAGAGCACAAGAGAAGAAACCATATCTTCCTTCTATCTCTTTGCTTCAAATCATTCCTCTCTGATAGTCTCCACTCGTATTCCCCTCTTATTCCCTTTCTCCATCCCCCAAGAAGTCCGGGAGGAGAATCACTATTTAGGGAATGTAAAACGACCAAAATGAATGTGCACTACCAAGCACCACAGGCGTGAGTGTCAGCTCTGTGACGGGGGCACTCAGAGGTCCTGTGCTAGGCTGAAGGTTCTCCACTCTGCTCCACAGGACAGTCTGCTCCCAGCCCCTTACAGAATGCACAAGAGGGCATACCAGACATATAGGAGCGGCCATTGCAGTCTTCCATGTCCATCTCAGAGAGATTCTGCTGAAAGAGAAAATAGCTGCTATTAGAAGCCAGATTTAGGAAGGGAGGAGGTTTCTTTCTAACATTCTGGAGTCAGGAGGAAACCTAAAAGATCGCCGAAGTGTGCTCTGACCCTGACCTAAAGAAGAAAAAGCTCATACTTTGCCCTGGTGAAAAAGACAATACCCTGACTTACAAACCGCAGGGTCTTCTTCAACCCCCAACTTCTGCAGGCTTCCCCAGCCTCTGGGATGGAAACACTGTCTCATTCCAGTGGTCCTTGCTGTGTCGTTTTGAAAGTAGATCCTCTCTCCCTGTAGGTGGAGCTGATGCTGTAGGAAAGGAGACAGGTTATAGCTCAGCCCTCAGGAGGCAAAGAAACAGCCCCATAGAGGCCCCATACTTAGTTAAGGATGGGGTAGTAATAAGAGGAAGAAGAGGGATTCAGTCATTCAAGGGGTTCTTTTTTGGGTGTGTGGCAGGAGGGAGGAGGACAGGAAAGTAGAAGATGGAGGAGAGCGGCCCACCTCAAGTTCAGTGAGGAGTCCTCTGCTGAAGGTGTAATAAACAAATTAGACTCTTAAGGGCCTTACCCCACCTTCTTGTCAATTATGTTGCTAATGTTTATTTTTTTTTTAAGTGTGGGTGGGGGAGCCTGAATTTAAAATATAGGTTAGGCGCCGGCGAGGTGGCGCAGCGGTTAAGTTCGAAGTTCACTTTCTCGGCGGCCCGGGGTTCACGGGTTCGGATCCTGGGTGTGGACATGGCACCGCTTGAAAAAAGCCATGCTGTGGTAGGCGTCCCATGTATAAAGTAGAGGAAGATGGGCACGGATGTTGCTCAGGGCCAGTCTTCCTCAGCAAAAAGAGGAGGATTGGCAGTAGTTAGCTCAGGGCTAATCTTCCTCAAAAAAAAAAATAAATAAAATACAGGTTAGTCTATTTGAGGGAAGGCAAGCAGTAATTGGTAGTAGAGTATTAATCAAGAACTGAGAGCAACTAAAAGTGATAATTTGTTGCAATGAATTATCTCCTTAGGGGCCTGTGGGAGGAGGAAAAAACTCTATTTGGTGGAAATTTACATACATCAAAAATTGCTTTCACCAATTATCTAATGAAAAATAAATACCCCAGGGGCAGATTTTGGGGGGCAAGGGAACAGCCTAAGCTGCTACCAGGACTCTTGGTTTCTTTGACAGCTCTCACTGAGGCAGATGGATGAAAATTTGGTTTGCTTTTAATACTATATTGATAAAGGTGGGGGTGGGCGTTCTGGAGGGCACACAGGGGAAAAATATCTATTAGCCTGTTTCTCCCACAACCCGTTATTCTCAACAAGTTCTGTGGTCAGAGAGCCAAAGATGAGGGAGAGTAGTCTGGTACTCATGGGACCCCTTTCATTTCCAAATTATTAGGTCCATAATTGCCCTTTGGGATTTTTCAAAACTACTGCAGAATTCAAGATGCCACATGTGACTTCCCTCACACACACACCCATTCAGGAGAAGCAAGAAAGAACAGGATTTTCCCCATTTTCTGCTTGGAGAAACAGGCTCAGAGCAGTCAAGCGACTTGTCTTAGAGCTCGTGGTGAGGCTGGAACAAGACAAAGAACACAAGTCTCCTGCCTCTCAGACATGTGCTCTTTCCATTAAACCATCTTGCTTTCTTTCAAAAGCCAGCGTACTCCAGGCCTTCATGGATTTTCTTGCTTTTCCTTGGTTCTAACATCAATTAAGGCAACTTTTCCTTTGGTGTGATTCCCATGGGAGTGGGGTCTGTTACTTAAAAAGGAAGAACATTTGTAAATGGGATTGTATTCTTGACTTCTCTTTCTGCTAGTTCATTACTAGTGTATAGAAATGCAACTGATTTTTCTAAGTTGATTTTGTACCCTGAAACTTTGCTGTATTATTTCTAATAGTTTTCTGGTGGATTCTTTAGGGTTTTCTATATATGGAATCATGTAGACTGCAAACAATGAGAGTTTTACTTCTTCCTTTCCAATTTGGATACCTTTTATTTCTTTTTCTTGCCTAATTACTCTGGCCAAAACCTCCAGTACTATGTTGAATAGGAGTGGTGAGAGTGGGCACCCTTGGCTTTTCCTGTTCTTGGAGGGACGGCTTTCAGTTTTTCACTAACTATGATGTTGGCTGTCGGTTTGTCATATATGGCCTTTATTATGTTGAATCACTTCCCTTCTATACCCATTTTATTGAGAGTTTTTATCATGAATGGATGTTGGATCTTGTCAAATGCTTTCTCTGCATCTATTGAGATGATCATGTGATGTTTAGTCCTCATTTTATTAACATGGTGTATCACACGGATTGATTTTCAGATGTTGAACTATCCCTGTGACCCTGGTATAAATCCCACTTGATCATGGTGTGTAATCCTTTTAATGTATTGCTGTATTTGGTTTGCTGATATTTTGTTGAGGATTTTTGCATCTATGTTCATCAGTGATATTGGCCTGTAACTGTCCTTCTTTGTGTTGTCCCTGTCTGGTTTTGGTATCAGGGTAATGTTGGCCTCATAGAATGAATTAGGAAGCGCTCTGTCTTCTTCAATTCTTTGGAATAATTTGAAAACAATAGGTATTAAATTTTATTTGAATATTTTGTGGAATTCTCCAGAGAAGCCTTCTGATCCTGGACTTTTGTTTTTTGGGAGGTTTCTATTACTGTTTCAATCTCTTTACTTGTGATTGGTCTATTCAGATTCTCTATTTCTTCTTGATTTAGTTTTGGGAGGTTGTATGAGTTTAAGAATTTATTCTTTTCTTCTAGGTTATCCAATTTGTGGGCATATAGTTTTTCATAGTATTCTCTTATAATCCTTTGGATTTCTGTGGTATCCATTGTAATTTCTCCTCTTTTATTTTTAATATTTATTTGAGCCATCTCTCTTTTTTCCTAGTGAGTCTGGCTAAGGATTTGTCAGTTTTGTTTATCTTCTCAAAGAACCAGCTGTTCATTTCACTGATCCTTTCTATTGTTTTTTGTCTCTATTTCATTTATTTCTGCTCTAATTTTTATTATTTCCTTCCTCCTGCTGACTTGTGGTTTTGTTTGTTCTTTGTCTAGTTCTGTTAGGTGTGGTTTAAGATTACTTCTTTGAGATTTTTCTTGTTTCTTGACATAGGCCTGTACTGCTATAAATTTCCCTCTTAGTACCACTTTGGCTGCATCCCATAGTGTTGGTATGTTGTGTTTTCATTTTCATTTGTTTCCAGGTATTTTTTGATTTCTCCTTTGATTTCTTCATCGATCAACGGCTGATCAGTAGCATGTTGTGTAGTTTCCACATATTTGTCACTTTCCCAGCTTTTTTCTTGTAGTCAACTTCTAGTTTCATAGCATTGTGGTCAGAAAAGATGCTTGATATGATTTTTTTTTTTTGAGGAAGATTAGCCCTGAGCTAACTGCTGCCAATCCTCTTTTTTTTTTTTTTTTTTTTGCTGAGGAAGACCGGCCCTGAGCTAACATCTGTGCCCATCTTCGTCTACTTTATATGTGGGACGCCTACCACAGCATGGCTTGCCAAGCAGTGCCATGTCCGCACCCGGGATGCGAACTGGTGAAGCCCAGGCCGCCAAAGCGGAACGTGTGCACTTAACTACTGTGCCAC